TGTACTTTTTGTCTTCGTGTTCCTCCACTGATTTATTGTATCAACCATTTATTCTCTCCCTTTCTACAGATATGAGTGACATCATTTGCACTTTCCAACAGCTCAGAAAGGCAAGGGAAAAGGCCTTACGCTTTCCTACCATCAGGATAACTACAGTTTTTACTCCCTCTCTCGATTTATCCCCAAAGGTTTGCAACTGTCTCACACTCCCTGCTTAGGAAACCTCCCACCACACCTTCAAAGGAGATGGAATCAAGTTATACATGGTGCCTCTATTAAACTCATCAATATTCTCTCTCAGCAGTGTCAATTTACACGTGAGGACCTCCATCAGAACTTGATTTCCCACCTTGACTCCCAACTCAAATCCAGTTGTTCTGATTCCATGTACAGGAATGTCCATGATGAGATTGAAAGGGGTTTGTCTAACCTTGACTCTGTCCTACTCAACAGGAGAAACAAGAAGATTGGTGGCTTGCTTGCCAAGCAACAGCAACGCAGACACAGACGTTTCAGACGTCCTATAGTCCCCATCTACCACGCCACCGCCAGAACCCCCTGTCAACACTGTAGTTAATCTTTCTTCCTCATCAATATCTGACACAGAGCACAAACTTCTTTCCAAGGGTCTAAATTTTTGTCCCGCTCCCCGTTCTGTGAACCAGGTTCAGCTCAGCCAAGATCTCACGGAATACTACCGTAGAATCCGTCTGCGTGAGTTTTTCCTGGACAGTGAACCGTGTGAGCCAGAGCCTTTTCGAGTCAAGAGTTCATGGGTACCCCCCAAGAATCGTGTGCCAGCCATAGAGACATACGTTCAAGTTATGAATTCCCAAGTCACTAACCCGGACAACTTCCCCCACAGGACTCATGATAATCTCCCCAGAGAGGAGCGCCTGGCTCTCAACTCCTTGCGCTCTCGCACCGACATCATCATCAAGCCAGCAGATAAAGGTTCAGCTGTGGTCATCATAGATCGTCAGCAGTACATTGATGAGGCCCACCGCCAGTTGGATAATCGCACTAACTATACCCGCCTTGACTCTGACCCCACAGGCACTTTCTGTAGAGATATTCAACAGGTACTTGACGATATGCGATCACGTGACCAGTCGTCCAAGAAAGCTCACAAATTTCTTTCTCCCTGTGATTGTAGGACTGCCAGATTTTACCTTCTACCCAAGATTCACAAGGCTGGCAACCCCGGTAGACCCATCATCTCCGGTAATGGCTCACCCACGGAACGCATCTCCCTGTTCATTGACAGTTTTCTCAAACCCCTTGTCCCACAGATTTCGTCATACATTCACGACACCCCAGACTTCCTACGCCAGCTTGAAGGAATCAAGGACCAGATTCCCAGCACAGCCATCATTGGGACTTTCGACGTCTCATTTCTGTACACCAACATCCCACATGAGGAGGGTGTTCGTGCTTGCTCCTTGGCTCTGGCCAAGGCAGGACACACGACTCCTCCCATCAGTGATGTTGGCACCCTCATGAGACTTATACTAACGAAGAACAATTTTTCCTTCCTTGGTGAACACTATCTACAGGTACACGGCACTGCAATGGGCACTCGCATGGCCCCCTCCATGGCTTGCCTCTTCATGGGTGACCTCGAAGAACGCATTCTTGCCTCGGCACCATGTCGCCCTTGGATCTGGTGGAGATATATTGATGATGTTTTTTTCATCTGGACCAGTGATGAGGACAGTCTCTTGACCTTCACTAACCACATCAATTCCTTCCACAGAACCATCAAATTCACATCGGAGTTCTCGGCTCACCAAACCCACTTTCTGGATGTCACCGTCCGCAAGCAAGGCAACTCACTAACCACTGACCTGTATTCCAAACCCACAGACACCCACCAGTACCTCCACTCCTCCAGCTGTCACCCCAGGCACTGCAAAACTGGCATAGCGTTTAGCCAGGCACTCAAACTCAGAAGAATTTGTTCTAATGATTCAGTTTCTCCCGCCACACACAGATACTGAGGAACAACTTGGTGGCCAGGGGTCACAGCTCTTGCCAAGTTCATCGTGCCATTGCCAGAGCTAAAGCTATCCCCAGAAATCTAGCTCTCACGGGAAAGGCCCCTGATGCCATGGCCAAACCCATGATTCCCTTGGTTACCACGTTTCACCCCAATCTCCCTCCCCTTCGCAAAATCACTAATGACAATCATCATATCCTCCATACTTCAGATCGCCTTGCCCGCGCCATCTCCAACGGCCCCACATTGGCTTACAGGCGTCCTCGAAATCTACGGGACTTGATTGTTCGAGCTGAAGTCCCATCCTTAGATGCATCCCCTCCCACCCAGCATGGTACTTTCAAGTGCAGTTCCAGATGTGTTGTCTGCCAGATTCATATCCAGGAGTCTGACTCCTTTTCTGGCCACTCTTCTGTCACTACCCACAGAACCATTGGTAACATCACTTGTAACACCTCTAATGTCATATATCTCATTTCTTGCAGGGTCTGTGGAGTGCAGTATGTAGGTGAGACTAAGAATACGATCAAGAAGCGTTTCTATGCCCACCGGTCAACGGTCAACACCAAGAAACTAGACACCCCTGTTGGTCATCACTTCAACCTGCCTAACCACTCCATTTCTGATATGATTTTGCAGGGCATTGAATCTCTTGGCCATCGCAAGGACTCAGTTCGCCTCAGCAGAGAGAAAGTGTGGATGAATCGTCTTCGAACTATTCAACCACATGGCAGTGATGTAGTGCCTTGATGCTGGGCCTTGGCCTTAAGGCTGCCTTAAGGCTGGATTTTAGGGCCTTGGCCTTGGCCTCGAGGCTTGAGGGCAAAAGCCTTGGCCTTGGCCTTGGCCTTGAGGGTTCAGGGCCTTGCAATTTTGAGTCAAGGCTCTTCAAGGCTTATAGAAGGCGAAATTTTGCTGTTACCATTTTAATCGTATTTCCATTGAGGAGGGAAGCACACTATAGATTTGTGTGTTGGGCACACTTCCACTTTTGTAGCATCACATTTTGTTACCATTGTAGTAGATTTGCTGCAAAAATATTCCGTACACTTGTGGGGCTAATGAGATGATCACTTTAATTGCATATAACTATGGAATGGATCTGATTGGTTGTATATGTCTCCCTGATAAGTGCTAAAGATTTGCATGTATCTGTTTGAGATAATGCTGATATTTCTGACCATGTTGGGCCAGCAAATAAAAATTTCCCAAATCAGTTTCTTGGATCCCCCTTTTGGTACACTTGGGAGAATTGTGTGTCAATATAGAAGTAAATCATTATTTTGTTTAGTTGAACCATATTGAAGACCTGAACTTATACTTTAATAGATACAGTGCAGTCATAAAACGGTGTATGCCTATGCGAGCATGTTGATTGCAATTAAAGAAATGTTGTTCTTCGTAACGAGCGATTCGTGATGATAAGGGCGGATCCAGGGGGGCCAAAAGGGGCCATGCCCCCCCCCCCCCAAAAGCATTTTTTTTTATGTGACGTCGTAATAAAGGCAGGCAATGAGTACACCACCATCTTTTCCTAAAAAAACATCGGTTAAAATGGTGAGAAATTGCCTCAAATCGCACCACAGAGCATCTCGAATCCAAATTTTTTTCGGGGCCCTTAAGCGGGCCCCGAAGCCCAAGCCGTAATTTTTTGACCCACTCTTTTTTTTTGGGGGGGGGGGGGACACCAAAATTTCTTTCCCCCCCCAAAAAAAATTGTGTTCTGGATCCGCCATTGCGTGATGATGTGTCACTCATGTGACTATAATTAGTTCTATATCAGTGGTCATTTCATAAAACAGGGCCTTGGCCTTGGCCTTGAGGGTTAAGCCTTGGCCTTGGCCTCGAGGCTTGAGGGTCAAAGCCTTGGCCTTGGCCTTGGCCTTGAGGGTCAAAGCCTTGGCCTTGGCCTTGGCCTTGAGGGTCAAAGCCTTTGCTCCAACACTGCCACATGGTCTCAACATCCAACATGGAAATGATTCAAATCCTTTTCTTCCTCCATTGTCTTCTGTTACAGATAATCCACCTGGTCTTCCTTGTTTGTGTTTACCCATCTTCCCCCATCTTTCATCCCTTTCCACCTCCATACTGTTCCCCCCCCCCCCCTCCGCATCATCCCCCTAATTCACTCTCACACTCCTTTGTCCGTTCCCACTCCCTGTGACCTTTGATCCTTCCCCTTTCTGGTCCCTCCCCTGTTTATACCAGACCCCTTGTGGTTTGCCATCTCCCTTTGTTTCTTTGTTCTCTCACCCACCCTTCCCTGCATCTTTCCACACCTTTCCCACCTAATCCTCCTTTTGTGTTTCTTCTTTCAGCCCTGCATGTTTGTGTGCACCCCCATGTTAATGTATGTACCTGTCATTTCTGTTTTAGCCTCTGAAGAAGAACTTGCTAAGTTCGCAACGTCAGGCCACATTAATTTTTAGAATAATACTGATAAGTGGCAGACCCTTCTGCAATGCCACGCCCCCGGGTCTTGCCCGACTATACGCCCTTGATAGAGCTAGGTGGGTGTACGAGTACGAGGGGGGCTCGGCGATCCGAGTGATACCCCACAAGCCCCTCCCATCTCCTAAAACAGTAATGGCAAAATTTGAGGGGCGCTAGCTGTGACTCTGTGGTTTGTGCATGTGGTGGACGACGAGAAAAAACATTAGCTCATTGCATGTGTGCATGCGCAAACCTATGCGCAAACACGCAACAAATTTACTCAGAAGTTTAAACTGGTTCCGGGCTTCACATTTATTATTGTGATAAAGTCGCTTAAATACGTTAGGGAACTAGACAACATGTAGCGAATGACGTCATGGCAGGGAAATTTACATGCACCGGTTCAGGCGGATGGATCTGTAAGGCAAAGCATGAATTCAATCCTAATCAAAAATCAAATGAGTAACATGTATTCATTTTGATTCCAATGTTATTAGCTGATTTGAAAAATTAAATAGCATATGCAAAAATAGAAATTACATCAAATTATGCGAAGGATATTTTAATAAGCGGATGCGTACAATATTTATCATCCAAGTAAAGCGTCTTACACGATGCATAATAATGAGCTGTTCGCTGGTACAGCTTTCGTTTCCGTGGTCAAAATATCCCCGATATGCTGAAAATCGATGTTGATTTGTACCTAAAAGCATTGGTAAGCAATCTAATTTGAGCTATTGTGTGACTCTTTGATCTCCCAACAGTAACCGGGCAAATTTTCTAAACATGTTATTTCGGGGAAAAGGGTGCATTTTGCAGTCAAATATGCCCACCAATTTAAACCATCTGGTGTATGCACAAAGTCTATCGGTCATGTCTATAGACTAGTTCACGGGTTTAATACTCACATGTGTTTTTGCATATGTACCGACTGTAAAATGATGTAGTACATGTAGTACGAACATGTACATTGTACATGCATGACTGTACTTCAGTTGATGATCATTCATAGTATCATACACTGTACTCGCATGACTCGGGCCAGTCGGGGATTGTTCAATTTTGTTGTATGCGCTAACTCGTTTATTGCCGTGTGCAGAGTTGAGGCCACTGTCACTGATCTAGATATAAAAAAGACTGGATAGTGATACACCAGTCACACAGACACAGTAGACTATTGACCAATTCGCCCCCGGTCTCACGAAGATGGCCGCGTATATTACGAACGTTCTCTGTGTATATAGCGCGCGCGCTGTATCAAGAGTTGACGCGCATTTTGGTCACGTACACGTATTATAATGTTCTTAAAAGGACACATTTCGGCAGTGATGATTATTTTCAAAGCGCCGAAAAAGGAACTGGGGCATTAAAAAAAGAGTAAACCACGACGTTAGAAAAATTGTAAACCGTGATCAGTGGTGGTGGTCAAAATATAAATCAAGTGAACCGCGATATTACAAAAGGAACCATGATGCTATAAAGACCGCAACTTGTCCTTTGTTGATCACTAGCCGGTCTCACCGGTCTCACCAATATGGCGTCAAATTCATTCATTGTGCGGCTCATTATCCGCTATCCAGTCTTTATATAGAGATCATTCATTCATTGGTTGAGGCATGGAGAATGGAGGCCATGTTTTGGGGTAAATACTCCAAGTCCAATAAATCATTCCTTTCTCCATGAATACAAACAGCGATCGTGAAGCGTAGGGCCCCTGTTTTGTTTTAATCAAATTAGAGTCAAAAATGTTTTTTATTGCTCAAAAATCACCTTTACAATCGAAAGCAGACTTTTCTCGATTCTATTCGGCTCTAATGACACCCGTTTTGCAATTTTGAACAGTTTCTTGGGGTAAAACTAGAAATCATGATTTTTCTGCGCGGTTTTTGCCTTGCGATTCAGCGCGCCGTGCGTGCTCACGGTACATTGCGCGGGGTGATAGCCATCTTTATTTTCGGGTTGCGTTTGTCGCCACGCCGTCATCGTCATTTTACCCCCAAATTTCCCTCAAAAAATCAAAACCCTGCCCTCATCTATGACATACCCGTTTATTGAGAATGTCGCCAACTAGTTTGGTAGGTCTTATAATTTTAAAGTGGATTTTGTTCCCTGATAGGAACCGGGCCCTACACTACACGATCGCCATAAAAAATCGACATACGATCGCCATGAAGTGTTTCTGAGTGTTGTTACTGTTTGTTAGCAACTTACTTAGGGCTCATGACCTAGCCAGGTTGGACGCCATTACGATTCAAAAAAAGAAAATAGTTTTATTCTTATTTTACCTACTTTTTAAACAGCTTCTGTTTGTTGAAGAAGCCAATTTCACATCTATGACTATTGAATGTGTCCTTATCTATGGGAACGGTGGGTTAAGAAATTCCATACACCATGATGGACAACATATTCCAGGAAAATAACGTCCAGTTGTTGCATTGACATGGTTGTAGATAGCCCATAAATGTGGGTTAAGTACTGGACTTCCTTTGTGCTAAGTTTGAGTAACTAGGACTCTACGAATTGCCTTTTTTAATATTTGGACATGGTCGGGCAATAGTAGAGTCCGAGGTTCATAGCCGTATCACGTTTACCAATAATTTTTGTTGGCCAGTTTCATCCCCGAAACAGTCCTCAAACTGCCTGATGCGTCCCTGTAGGCTTCAGTGGGAATTGAAAATACAAATGGTGGTGTTTAGGTTCACATACCTTTGGGAAGAAAAGAGAAATTTCACCTTCAATTCGGGAAACATCCTCGTCGCATGCGTTGTGTTTGAGGCTGCCATTTTGAATTCAGGAAAAATTGACTTGTGCATGGCTCCTGGCTACACTGTTTCCTGGCTAGCATCAGATGGACCAATCACAGGGCACTTTGATTGGTCACCGTGGCGACGCTCAATCGAGACACCATGTGATTGGCCTATTGAGGCGACCAATCGAGGTGACCAATCAAAGCGCCCTGTGTTTGGTCTGTCTGATGCTAGCCATGTGCTAGTCTGGTTCCCTGTTCCCATTGTCCTCCTGACTCCAATATTTTTAGGAGGCCCGGTAAACAGTGAAGCCAGGAGCCATGCACAAGTGCATCAATGGCTGTTGCCTGTCATGCGGTAATCATCAGTCTGAAGTGCGCTCGCATGCATGCGCTGTTGACTTGACACTCTCGAGAAAATATAATGTTGAGTACGCAGCGGGTCACATCGCCTGAACGGTTAATGTCGGGTGGAATTTTCTCCCAAAAGTCATCGGGTGACGGTTACCACCAAAAATTGAATAAAAAAAATGAAAGATGATGAAGACAGGTAGCTAGTGTATGTTCTCTATCAATATTTGGTCAAACCAGGCCTGCAGGACCAAGTCCCTGAAAATCTACCAAAATGGGGGATGGATTTTGATGGAGTTGAGGAGTTTAGGGTTAATACCATTGAAAAACTCTTGTTCTGCATAATATCAATTCTTAAAAAGTCTGACTTACATGTAAAGGGAATATACAACATTTGCAAACATCGAAAAACAAAACCACCAAAGTTTTACGAAATACCGTACTAGGATGTTGGCAAATGACAGTCAAAGCATCCTGTAAAGGCCGACCACCGTTGGAAAAACCTAACTATTTTTGAACTTCTGGCTCCCAATTTAGCATTTTTTCTTCATTTCAAATTTTGTTTGCTATTGGTTACATGTTCATGAACGGGTGCAGGCCAGCTAGACTGGTTCCCTTACCTTACAAGTTTCTGGCATCTATAAATTGATCCACTTCATCTTTAGTTGAGTCAGGGAACCAGACTACTTGAACATTTGTGTTTTTCTTGTTTTTTTCCAGCATTTTCATACAACTTCAAACATGTCAGTGTAACAATACAATGTATTTGATCTATTATACAAACCCCTCAAATAGTTATTTTCCAAAAATTACAGCAAAATGATGCCAATGATGTACATTCACTTTAAGCTCAATTTGTGATGACAGGTCACAAATTTAACGTTTGTAGAAACTAGAAAGTGTTAAGATTTTATTTTTAAAAGGGATATTTCTGTTATCTTGATTTTGCACACCCTTTTTCAAGACGAGAAGGCAAACTTCAGGTCAGCCTGTGATTTGCCTGCACCGCGACGGAACTAGCCTGCATTTGTCGACGACAGTGTTGATAGCATGCGGCTAGTGTTTATGTTTTTAGCTGCCAGATACCATCGCGGACACAATCAATGCAGCCTTGACCAAAGCTTGTTCAGTCACGGCACAAGCACATTGCAGGTTGACCTGAGGCAAGACGAAGAGGTAGGTAGATCATCGTACGCACAAGGCTCAGAGATCCCTTTCTCATTTTGTGGCTTCCTCGAGTGCAAACCACGTGTATACACTTGGAAGCTACTCGAACGCACCCCATGTCTACTTGGCAGGCTTGCCTAATCTTGTGTCAGTAAATAAGCAAGAATATCAAGTTGACTGCAGCTCATGTACATGTGGTTTGATCTTGTACATGTAGTTAGAAGGTCGCATGGACTTTCAAATTGCAAATTTATTGCAAAATCGGGCATATGGGAAACAAACAATCTACACAATCATCAAAACTACTATGGACGGGAACGATAAATTAAAAGTGAAATTGTGATGCTTGATGTATTTTTTAAATTGATTACACACATGTATATGTATATTGATTTAGTTATGCGATCCAGTTTAAGGTTGGCATTTAATGCACCTACTGCAGGTGACACCTGCCATGCAGCATTTCACTTACACTCTTTAATGAATCGCTGTTTCAGTTCTGATACCAGTACCCCCCAGTTTTCCTAGGTTGTAGACGTTTTGTTTTAAAACAGCTGAACAGTTTTTTTAAAAGTTGTTGAGGCAACACTTTACAAAGGATGCTGCCTAACCCATTATGACAGTTCAGTGCCTCTACACAATCAACTATGTAAAGTTAGATTAACTCAAAAAAGATGTTTGGAGTTGAATGTTTTATAAATTAAACAGCCTGAGATCTGATCAAGCACGTACACAGTGTAGTTTGCTTCCAATTTTTATGCAAATGAAATGAGTTAAACCACATTGATTCTTTCAAAAATAAAACTACAAGGATCTTTGTTTTTGTTTTTTGTTTTTAAATAAAACTTGGTGTTTTGTGTAAGAAACCAAGGATTTTTGGGGATTGTTTTTAGTTAAACTTCATGAACTTGTAAACCTGACACAACTAATACTTACTATACACAACTAATGATAATGTGTTTGTAAAACTTTAAATATGACCAGTGTTTTGCATCTTTCCATGTAGGACTTTCCCACTGTATCTGTTTTAGACCCTGTGATGCATTGTTTTACATAGAGTTTACTGGACTGCATGTATGAACAGTAGATGGATCTGTGTGACACTTGTAGTTGGAGCTATGTACGCATTACGAGCCCGTACCGGTTCGCAATGCTGATGGCGCCAAGTACATTTTTGCACAACTAATTTTATTTTAACCCTAACGTACCCGAATCCATCAAAGCCCACACCCCTGTTGTGGAGGATTTTGGCGGATTCAGGATACCTCCATATTGATAAAGTTGGTGGATTTTGATGGATTCAGGACAGTAAGCCTAGCGGTACTGCTGGATTTTGATGGATTCAGGATACCTCCATATTAAGCAGTTAGGGGACTTTGATGGATTCATGATCTCAATAGTTTAACTCCTTGGCTACATTGTATATGTTTGGTGTGTACGAGGTATATGTA